CCCCACCCCCCACCCCCGTCTTGCCAGCCGCTGTTGTTGCCCTTGTTCCAGGGACAAAGTAGGGCCCAACTAAACTTGGTTTCTTTTCCAATGTTCAGGAAGCAGAGAAAGGTGTGAAGTTCCTAACTTTGCCACCAGTGTTACATCTGCAGCTGATGAGATTTATGTATGACCCTCAGACGGACCAAAATATCAAGATCAATGATAGGTAATTTATTGTGGGGTGTTAAAGTTAAGATTGAATCATCACCTGACTTCGGGGGGTCGGTCTCCATGCTTTGTTTGTCTTTTTATAATGTCAGTTCATCTTGGATGTACTTGGGAGTTCCCTTGTGCCTCAGTTTCCCAAGAAGTATAATTTTAAAGGGATAATTTCCTTTAAGAGTTTCAGAGGCTGCTCCTCCCATAACTCCCTCTACCGGAACCCTGCCCCTCTCTGTGCTGTGGCGGATGGTCGTCCTGGGGAGGTTGGGGGGGGGGTGCTTTCTGTTTGACCCGATGTAGCTTAGCTGTTTGCTCAGGAGTGGGATTTGATGTTCCCGTATTATTTTGTACTCTCCGTATCAACTTCTAGAACGTGTTGGAATTTTCAAGAAGAGGATGTAGATGGACTTGTGTGCTTTACTGCCAGTGTTTTCAAAATTCCAGATAAAAAGGAATGATAGTACACACACCCTTACCTGGTTTAGAATACATTATTTTTGTCCTGGTTAGTTTGAGCTCAGGATAGGGTGGTTGGTCAGTCCCCGCATGGAACTGGAGTGAGAGTGGACCCAGTCCGATTATTTGCCACCAGCTGGGTCTTTGCCGGCTCCTCGTTGTCCACGATCGTGGAGTGTGTAGTAAAGAAACCGTCCCCACCAAACCTCACACGTCGGCAGCGCGCAGACTAAGCCCCACCTGCTGGTGGGTGTCGTTGGGTCCTCACCTTGCTTTTGTTTCTGCTTTTGGAATTAGTTGCCAACGTTAAAACAAAACAGATCAAAACCTTGAGATTTCACATAAAAGCCCAGATTTCTGGCATCTTTTAGGAATTCAGAACATGTGGCAGCACAGCCAGAATTGCTGAGGGCAGCACCCGGGGCGCCGAGCCGGCTGCCCCTGGAGACTCCATGCGCCGCTCTCCTCCGCGTCTTCGCCAAGCTGCCTGCCTTTCTTCCTGTCTCTCAAGGCCCTCCTAGTAATTAATCGTGACCCTGTTATTAAAATGCTTATGGATCCAGTAATTTACAAACAAATCAAGTTCAGATGTCTCCCGAAATCCCAGGGTGTACGGGATCCTTTCTCACGTGTGTCCCCTGTCAGATTCGATCCCTCCAGGTTTCTCAAACCTGCAGCGTGTCCTCAGTGGTCTTGGTCCAGGACAGTTGGAATCATTCATTAATACATTTGCAGCCATCCACATCCTAGACAAGTCCTGGTGTGTGTTTGTCCTGAGACTGGCTGTTGTGTGACATCCTCAACTTAGAAATCTGTTGGTGTCTCCATGCGTTGTGCACCTCTTTTCTCATACCTAGCTTCACATTTCGTACTGATGTGTGAATAATTGTCCTAATGAATAGGAGCCGCCACAGAAGTCCTTCGGAGGGCCTCCCAAGTCAGAGTGATACTTCTCTTTCCAAATAAAGACGAGTCAGTAAATTAGAACGTCTAGCAATATAGTCTCCACATGAAATATTTTACATGTCAGTGAAACCTGGATTTCTTTAAAAATGTTTTTTTAATAGGTTTGAATTCCCAGAACAGTTACCACTCGATGAATTTTTGCAAAAAACAGATCCTAAGGACCCTGCAAATTATATTCTTCACGCAGTCCTGGTTCACAGTGGAGATAATCATGGTGGACATTACGTGGTTTATCTAAACCCCAAAGGGGATGGCAAAGTAAGTGCCGGGCAGGGGGCGGAGTCAGATGTCATGGTGTGTGGGGCACTTACCCAGCGCTCAGCTTCGCCTTTTCCTCTCCCAACCCGATGGCCTGAATAGTGCAGGATTCCACCCTGGGCTCTGATTTATCTGTGTTCCCATGCATGAATGGCTGATACCTTAAAGGTGATAGTGAATGAGTGCTTGCACTTGACGTATGCACTGAAGTAGCCTTGAACATTGGACCGTTATCATTGCATACCTAATGGGAGGCACTTGCTCTCCACTTAAATCCTTGGGCAGGTGGGAATGCAAGCTGGTGCAGCCACTCTGGAAAACAGTGTGGAGGTTCCTCAAAAAATTAAAAACAGAACTACCCTACTATCCAGCAATTGCACTACTAGGCATTTATCTAAGGGATACAGGGATGCTGTTTCGAAGGGGCACATGCACCCCCATGTTTATAGCAGCACTTTCAACAATACCCAAAATAGGGGAAGAGCCCAAATGTCCATTGACAGATGAATGGGTAAAGAAGATGTGGTAATATCTATACAATGGAGTATTACTTGGCAATCAAAAAGAATGAATTCTTGCCATTTGCAACTATGTGGATGGAACTGGAGCGTATTTTGCTAAGTGAAATTAGTCCGAGAAAGACAAGTATCATATGACTTCACTCATATGAGGACTTTAAGAGACAAAACAGATGAACATAAGGGAAGGGAAACAAAAATAATACCAAAACAGGGAGGGAGACAGAAGAGACTCTAAAAAATGGAGAACAAACTAAGGGATACTGGAGGGGTTGTGGGGGGGGAATGGGCTAAATGGGTAAGGGGCACTCAGGAATCTACTCCTGAAATCATTGTTCCACTCTATGCTGACTAATTTGGATGTAAATTTAAAAAAGACAGAAAGAAAGAAAGAAATCAATCCTTGGGCAGGGGAGGCTGGATGAATCACACGTTCTGCGCGCCTGCTTGTCTGTGCTGCGTGATGCTCCGTCGCGTCTCCTAGTGTTCCCCAGGGGTGAGGGTGTCCTCAGGGTCTGTGTCCAGGATCGTAGCGCCAGTGCAGAACAGAGCGGAGGCCGAGCCCACCTCCCTCATGTGAGGAGACTTGGGCAGGGGGTGCTCACACAGCCCAGACCACGACGAACCTTTCCCTGCAAGACTTAGTGCCATTTAGAACACCTCGACCCACAATGAAGAGATCAGAAGAGAAGTACTCTGTACAACTCTGCTGACCTTTCTTGAGCCAGGCCCTCTCTTGCTGCGATAACGTATCCTATCAAATGTCCCACTGAATTTCGTAACCACACCGTAAAATCTCCAGTTTTACCGACGAAGTCAGGTGTACTCGGTATGATTTTCTCAGATCTGCAAAGAGTTGTACTGTCGGGAGATTGAATCTGATTCGAAGTGGGCCATTTGAGCATGTGACAGAATTGCCAAGGGACAAACTCACAGTGGCCCCAGAATACGGGTGCTGGCTGGCCTCTTCCCCGAGAGGGCGGCCCGAGGCGGCGCCTGGCCGGGCACCTCCCTGCGTCACTTGTAGGTAAACGCTGCCTCTCCGGTTGTGTGCTTCTCAAAGCGCTTTCTCTCTGCTGCGTCTTGTTGCCAGTGGTGTAAGTTCGACGACGACGTGGTGTCCAGGTGTACGAAAGAGGAGGCCATCGAGCACAATTACGGGGGTCACGACGACGACCTGTCGGTGCGGCACTGCACGAACGCGTACATGTTGGTTTACATCAGGGAATCAAAGCTGAGTGAGTAGCCGGCTTGTTACCTGGGAAGCTTGACAGCTGTACCCTGAGCTGTGCCATTTGCCCCAGCACGTTCCGCGCTCTGCCTGTGCGGCCTCGCTCCCGACCTCCGCAAGCAAGCTGGACGGGGCCGTGTGGGTTTTGATGCGGGCTCACGGTACCAAGTCATTTCCCCCGAATCAGATCTCCATTTATGGCGACGCTGAATGGGGGCGTTCTCAGGAGGGCATCCTAGAACCCGCGCAGAGGTAAACGCGGGCACATTTGTCGTGCAGGTGAGGTTTTACAAGCTGTCACCGACCACGATATCCCTCAGCAGTTGGTGGAACGACTGCAGGAGGAGAAGAGGATCGAGGCTCAGAAGCGGAAGGAACGGCAGGAAGCCCATCTCTACATGCAAGTGCAGGTCAGCACCCCCACCCCCCGGGCGGGACCCGCGCTAGGCCTCGCTTCCGGAGCGCTGTGGCCTCGTTGGGGGGACTGCTGCCTGGGCACGTGTGCTCAGTTTCCCTGGCCCTATGGGGCATACGTTCCAGCGCAGGCTGAGGGCTGATGTTAGACGTACTCAGACCCCCAGACACTGGGCCAGGGGGTGGATGAGAAGCACCGAGGGGTCAGAGGGGAAAGGCCTCAGGTGGGCGAGCTCCCAGTGGGAGGTGGCCCTCCAGGCCATGGAGAAGCTTGGCCAGTGGTGGGGACAGAAAAGAGGGCTGGACGGAGAGGTGAATTTCCGGGTGGTGTTGGTTTGTGGTTTGGTTGCGATACCAGGAAACGGGCGTTCCTTTTAGCAAGTTGATTGCCGGGAAAAAGCCGCCAGCTCACGCATCCTGGCGGTATGCTGTCCAGAGACTGCCACACAAGCGGGTTTCCCACTGGTGCTCGCGGTCAGTGGGCAGCGGCTGTGTGGAAATGGAGGTGTCTCGATTCTGATGAAACACCTGATTTCCTCCGGTCACTTTGATGTTTTTCTCCTTGGGTCTTTGGAAGAAGGTTCTTCGGAGCAAAAGACTAGCTGTTCTTAGCATACTGCTGTAAGAACTTTGTTTTGGCTGGGGTGGTCGCGTGGCATTTATGTATCGTGTGGAAAGTGTTGTGTTTGCTTGTGGCTTTTCAGATAGTTGCAGAGGACCAGTTTTGTGGCCACCAAGGCAATGATATGTACGATGAAGAAAAAGTGAAATATACTGTGTTCAAAGTGTTGAAAAACTCCTCACTGGCTGAATTTGTCCAGAACCTCTCTCAGACCATGGTGAGTGCCACCCGTTCTGGGGGTGGTTATTTTCTTCTCCCACGTTCTCCTCCCTTGCTTATTTAACTGCACGGGATCAGATCGGGCACCCAGGCCCTGGAATACTAGGAGCCCTGAAGGGTGAGTCTTGGACCACATCAGCAGGGAGAGCTGTAACTGTAATATAATCCTAGAATCATCACATTCATATCGAATTTTTTTGTTAAGTTTTTATTATTTTGAGAGAGAGTGCACACATGAGCAGGTGAGGAGGGGCAGAGAGAGAATCCCAAGCAGGCTCCACACCATCAGCACAGAGCCCGATGTGGGGCTCGAACTCAGGAACCATGAGGTCATGACCTGAGCTGAAATCAGGAGTCGGGCACTTACCGACTGAGCCACCCGGACGCCCCTGTATGGAATTAAAATGTGAGCTGCTTTTAATTGCTTTGCTTTGCTTTTCTCCCCCCCTTCCCCCCCCCCCCCCAGGGGTTTCCACAAGATCAAATCCGATTATGGCCCATGCAGGCAAGGAGCAATGGAACCAAACGGCCAGCGATGTTGGATAACGAGGCAGACGGCAACAAGACGGTGAGTGTCGCGGGTGCCGCCTGTCCTGATGGGGGTCTGTGGAGGCCTGGCCTGCGCGCCAGCGTGCCTTATCTGCTTCTGGCCCACTTTGTGGGTGGTGGGCGTGTTCTTCACCCTCACACAGCCGCTGACACAGTCTAAAACCAGCCTCTCTTTTGGAAATAGATGATTGAGCTCAGTGACAATGAAAACCCTTGGACGATATTCCTGGAAACCGTTGATCCGGAGTTGGCCGCCAGCGGAGCCACGTTACCCAAGTTTGACAAAGATCGTAAGTGTCCTCGGAGCGCAGAGCCGGCTCCCTGGACCACCGTCTAGACACCCAGGGTCCGGCGTTCTTCCCTGGCAAAGAAACCGGCCCTCGGCCCCCTCCTGTGTTCGTGTTTCTTGGCAAAGCTGGGTGGGCCCCATCTCTGCCGGTGGCTGGAAGGCACCGGCCGCGTTGAGTCCTCCTGTTCCACTTTTGTCTGGGCCCATGGTTTGCCACGTGCCTGACAGGGGCTGTGACAGCGCTGGGCTTGTAGACTCTCCGCCAAGGGCCGGTCCTTAATAGTTGGGGCTTTGCGACCCGTGCGGCCTGCGCCGCCCTGAAGCGGCCGCAGAGAGTGTGTGGATGGACAGTTTGGCCGTAGGTTTACACAGCAGGTGCCTGTAAGATGCTGGGTGGCTCTTGCTACAGACCAGGCTGTCCCTTCTGGTGGCGAAGACACTATATTAGCATATTTCCATGGCAACGCTCAACCAGCTAGTTATACCTGTTCTGGAAGTGTGAGATTCCTGATGAGTTCACTGCCCTGGCTCCCAGCCTCACTGCCTCAGATTAGTGTTTCCCGGGGGCCTGTTTGGAATGATGCTGTTGACCTGGGATCAGGGCTAACCCTCCCCTGAAACAATTGCTTTTAGGCTCTATAAGCCTTCCTTTGGGATGCCACTAGGCTTACTGTTAACATTTTTAAAACATTGTCCCGAGTGTTAAGATCCTAACAAAACCTGTTTGTTAATCTTATAGATGATGTCATGCTATTTTTGAAGATGTATGACCCCAAAACGCGGAGCTTGAATTACTGTGGGCACATCTACACACCAATATCCTGTAAAATCCGTAAGTCCTTGTTGTGCCGACCTCGGAGCTGGTTTTGTTAACGTGCTGGCATGTTACAGCCTCGGATTCTTTGTTTTCTTGAACCCAGGTGATTTGCTCCCGGTTATGTGCGACAGAGCGGGATTTACCCAGGACACTAGCCTTATCCTCTATGAGGTTTGGACGGCGTGTTTTTCCATAATCCGTGTATCTTGGGTGGTTGGGGGAGGGCTGTCTTTGTTCGTTTTGCTGGCCCTGAGTTCACTGTTCTGTGAAGTGTGCAGCTCAGTGTTGGGGGCCTCGGGTGGTGTGGAAGGAAAATGACTTTCCCTCATTTAGGCCCAGTGATTATTACATTTTTATGGATATTAGTATTTACTTGGCGTTTCGCTTATGAAAAATGTAGGGCTGAGAGTACTGAATATGCAGAAAGTGCAGGCAGTGTCTGGCCATATTACACATAAGCAGATGTTGAATTGTAACCGTTCCTCTCTTTTCCTGTAGGAAGTTAAACCGAATTTAACAGAGAGAATTCAGGACTATGACGTGTCTCTTGATAAAGCCCTCGATGAACTAATGGATGGTGACATTATAGTGTTCCAGAAGTATGTACTTTTTGAAGGACTTTTATCACTTCGTATGGGCGTTGAGGTTTTTCCATAAGCCCTAGAACCAGGAGATAAAATTGCATCTAGACCCCAAGTTAAATTTGTATCTGAGATTGTGGATAGAGGCCGACCTTCTCTTGGTTTGGGGATGATGGGCAGTGAGCCTCTTCCTCATTTAATGAATGCTTTATTTCCGAAGAAACGGCGTAGAGCAGGGTAACTCTTAACGGGATGGCAGACGTCTTTACGGAACTGCACGATGGTTTTCCTTCCCTTAAAGCGTGAGGTTCCCCCGTGTGCACCTGCGTGGATAATGCGTTCCAATCGGTGTGCATTAAAACCCTTGGGGCTGCTGGGCTGCTGTCGTGGCCCCTGGTCTGAAAGTAGCCTTTTCCCCTGCTCTTGAAGACTTCTGTTTGGAGGGCCAGGCAGTAAATAACCTAGACTTAGCGACTCCCCAGCCCTGCTGCTGGAGCCCGAGAGTGGTCGCCCGTCCCGTCCACTTCTGGTCAGAGAGGAGGCTCTGCCCCGAGGCGCTTGACCCCGAGTCCACTGTTACTTCTGTATTGCTGTATTGAGACGAGGGGCAGAAGGCAGTCAGCACTAGCACTGAGCCGGCTCAGGGCACCCCTCCTGTGCCATCCTGGCTGCTGACCGGGGTGCCCGGGACAGACTGTGGCACCCTAAAATGCGAGTCAGAATTTATGTCAACACCAATTTCTGTCTGTGTCACTGTGGTTTGGGAGATGATGCCCCCTTTTTTTTTTTTTTTTTTTTTTTTTTTTTTTTTTTTTTTTTTTTTTTTCCTTTTAACCAATATCCCTGGCCTGGACTTTGATTTAGTCTGCAAACTGTTTTTTTCCTCCCACTAGGGATGACCCTGAAAATGATAACAGTGAATTACCCACTGCAAAAGAATATTTCAGAGACCTCTACCACCGTGTTGATGTCATTTTCTGTGATAAAACAATCCCTAATGATCCTGGATTTGTGGTTACATTATCAAATCGAATGAATTATTTTCAGGTATTTGATAAATGCTCTTTTCCCTTCGTATTCTACAGCAGAAAGACCAAGTTGTTTTTAAAACAGCACTTGTTGAAGGCTATTGGATTTGGTTCTGGAGGGAGGGCCTCAGCCCTGCTATGAGGAAGTTCTTGATTGAGGGGCTTGTCCCCGGGCCAGCGGCTGTTCTTTCCCGAGGCCCACCCCGCCCCGTTCCCCCCACACCCTCCCACACCTGCCCCGCATCCCTTAATATCCACCCCACCCCACGCTGCACTCATCCGACCCTGCACCCACCCCGGCATAATTTGGTTTCAGAGATGATAGTCTTAACAGCATCTTTGCTTCAATTGCAACATGCCATTGGAAAATAAACCTGTAGACCTCACCATTAAAAGTTAAGAGCTCGGGGCGCCCGGCTGGCTCAGTTGGAAGAACAAGTGGTTCTTGGTCTCAGGGTCAGGAGTTCGAGCCCCGTATTAGGTGTAGAGTTTACTCAAATAAACATACCAAGAAAAAAGGTGAAAGACCCTGTAACAGCTAACTTCACCAGTGTGCTGCCCCCATGAGGGCACACTGGGGGGTATCATTTATTCCTGGTAGGTGTCAAAGGTTCAGGCCGTTTAAGTTCAGGCTGTTTGTTTCATACTTGTGTAAAAACATCAGGTAAATGGCTTCATTGGTAAGGTTTATACGCAATTCTCAGTTCATCCCTGAAGGAGACTTCCTTTCTGTCTGTGGGCCCCTTCCCTCCTCCCAGGTTGCAAAGACAGTGGCACAGAGGCTCAACACCGACCCCATGCTGCTCCAGTTTTTCAAGTCTCAAGGGTAAGCCTCGGTCGCTCGCTGTTCTGTCTGTCCCGCATGCCGTCCCTAGTCCGTCCAGACATCGTGGAACTAACTCTGATAGGTTAACACCTGACATGCCCTCACTTAGTTTCCGATAGAGTCGTCCACACGCACGTCCTGACCACACTCCTCCTGGACGTCAGACTAATTGGCGGCCTCGTCCAAAGCCAGACTCACTGTAGATACATGGTCAGCACATCTCCCACGCGTCCGGCCTGCCCCAGCCAGACTTGTGCATGCCAGTGGGACAGCCAGAGGGACGTGGGCCTCAGGAAATGGGAGTATTAAGGGAGGCCCCGTGCCAGGCCCGAGTTCAGGTGTAGGTGGAAGGCCAGTGGTTTGCTTTTACTCACACTCATGGGGATTTGGTGTAGGCAAATAATCAACAAGGCATTTGTTTATGTGCTGTTTTCTTGTGCAGTTATAGGGACGGACCAGGTAATCCTCTTAGACATAATTATGAAGGGACTTTAAGAGATCTCCTACAGTTCTTCAAGCCTAGACAACCTAAGAAACTTTACTATCAGCAGGTATGAGCCCGAATTCATGTAAGTGGGTCATGAAGAGAAGGTTTGGGTTTCGTGGAAGCACATCTGACGGTCTCTCTTTTCTTACCAGCTGAAGATGAAAATCACAGACTTCGAAAACAGACGAAGTTTTAAGTGTATATGGTTAAACAGCCAATTTAGGGAAGAGGTAGGTTTTTTTTAACGGTAGGAAGTTTTACTTTTATTGGCGTTTAATGTTTCTGTCTAGCCCTCAAAAACTAAAACCACAAAGGGAAGGTGTCAGAGGCCCTCAGTCCCCTCCAGCCACGATGACTGGAGCATTTTCAGTCGGGGCTCTAGCTGCTTGGCCCCAGGCAGTATCTTTCTGGAACCCCGGCTGCCTCTGGGCCTCCTCAGGTGGGGCGGGTGCCGGGGTCTGCCATTGCTGAGGCTGGTTCTGCACGGAAGGCAGGCCCAGCCCGCCCGCACGTGGTGGTTCTAGAAAGTCTGGCCCTGCTTGGACCCCGGTGTTTTCGCCTTTGTAGCTCCACCAGTCTCGAAGGCGCATGTAGGCCACGTGCTGTACGCGTGTTCCTCTGGTGGAATTGACAGGCTGAGATACTCCGCTCTTCCTCTGGGCCTTGTCTGGGCTGTCTGTCTGTCTGTCACGTCACCATGCTGGATCCGGCAGGCAGGGGAGGGGGGTGGCTTTCCGTGGGGTTTCCTGAGGAGCTGTCCTGTGAAGGGCGACCTTTCTGTATCAGCGTCGTTTCCTAAACTCCTCTCGGGTCCTAAACACCTCTGGGGTGGGGTGGGCATCTCCGGTTTGGGCCGGTGGGCAGAATTCACGCATCTGGAGCCCTCGGGGTGGGGCATCGGTGATGCGGAGGGAAGCTAGAGACGACAGAACGTCCCTTGCCATTCTTTCCTTCCTCGAGCAACATGGACGTGCTGTGGCAGACCTCTTCCGTTTTCTTGAAAGCATCGATTTCCTCCGGTCCTTTCCTAGGAAATAACACTATATCCCGACAAGCACGGGTGTGTCCGGGACCTGCTGGAAGAATGTAAAAAGGCTGTCGAGCTCGGGGAGAAAGCGTCAGGGAAACTTAGGCAAGTATTTCCTGAAGCTGCCGGCGGGCCGCGGGGGCATCACCAGGGCACCCGACTCTGGGACCCGCGCACAGTGCTGCACACCGGCTTTCAGCCCGTCTTCTGTGGCAGTTCATAGACCCTTCATAATGGGACCCCCCTCCTCCCCCCCCACCCCGCCTTTTTCTTTTGAGAGCAAGAGAGAGCACGAGTGAGTGAGGGGCAGAGAGAGAGAAAAGAAGTGGGGCCCACATGGGGCTTGTGCTCACCCGATGTGGGACTCGAACTCCTAAACCGTGAGATCATGATCTGAGCCGAAGTCAGATGTTTAACCACTGAGCCATATTTTCTTCTTTCCCTGTCTCCTGATTATTACTAAGCTGTAGGAAGAACTTAAGATTCAGGTGGAAAAGCCACTCGGTAAGGAAAGGATGCAAATAGAGGATCAGCCAAAACTGCTGTTGGTTGTGCGTGAGGAATCAGGGCGCTTCTGAGCCACGTAGCTGGTGTTCAGGCTGAAGTCAGAGGCCCCCGATTGATGAGCACTGTTCATGTCAGAGAGTTGACCGTTCTTACCATGGGGCCGGACAGGCGCTCACAGGACATAACAGCCCTTGGGGCTACTTGGTTCCTGGAATGTTTGCTCAGTGATGTTAATAAAAGAATGAGATCTTTATTCTCTAACGAGCTAGAGGGAGAAAGAGCACAAGTCTGGCCCCATTTGGAACCATTGCGGGAAAGATGTGCCCGGTTTGGGGAGATTTGGTCTCCCTCTCCGTGCCCAAATGCAGCTGCATCCCCTCCAACCGGAGCATCCCCCTTGGCCTTTTCTTGAACCACACACTCCAGGGGGACCACTGACTAGTATTTTGTGCTGTGTTCCTTGAGGACGCCTGCTTTGGACATTCCCAGTCTCTAACAAGGAAAACCATAAGCAAATGTTGATAGCTTCGTAATAAAGAATTTCTAGGAGAACTCATCAGCCCCTTTTCTCCCGTGGATTGGTGTGGCTCACTCCTTGCCCCCCCCCCCCCCC